TGACTATATTTATTCAAGATGGACTGTGATGGTAAATAGCATTGTATAATTTTAATAATTATTAATAGTAGTTATATGTCAACAAAAGTGGTGTTAAGAATTGTACTAAATATCTATGAAAACAATACCATTACAAGACGTAATGTAATGAAACCTAAGATCTAAATCATATTATAACTACTAAATCGACATAAATGTTCTTAATAATCTAACCACTAAATATAGTCTGTACGATATTATTCAAAATGTACGTTATTAAGTTAAGACTGAAAATCAACTGAAAACCAGAACCTAAATCTACACTTAGCTGTTCTTGAGGCAATCCTGTTTCAAAGAGTAGCAGCGTGAGGTGGTCTCGCATCTCTGCACTCGGCCATCCAATACAACAAAAGGGGCCAGAATGAGGACACCATGAATTGATACAGCCGTAACTACTAACTGGCTTATAGATGGGAACGAAGCAGCATGGGGCTCAAGCTACATCCACGCTGGGGCACTTTATATGTAAGATAAATCACTCCTACTGGGGACACTCGTCCATGGGACATCCGTCCATAAGATAATGGTACAAGGGAACACTACCCGTACCTTGGAACACTACTAGGACCTTGGATAATGTCTGTACCTTGGAAATAGTCCGTACCTTGGACCCTCGAATTACTTCCGAGGGCTCACTAAATAATAAAGAACATGTCCTTTCTTCCATGTGACATTCTGGAGGACAAAAGAAAAGGGACGCCAACGTGCCAGCAAAATACAAATACAAGTTAGGTTGGGACATCCAAAACTCTACCCTAAAAATACGCAGTAATAATAACGAATCAAAAAAGATAATATCTCATTTTTACCTGTAACTTCGAAATAGAAGCTGATTCAAATTATACAGCAAGATTTTTATAATTGCAGTTTCTCGAAGCAAGGATTTTTTTTGACGGTGACAGTCGGACGGTCAAAGCCAAGTGAAGTTAAGCACAGAGAGAGTTGACAGAAGCGATGTTGACAGCGCCTCCACAGAACAGTGAAACGATAGCAGGGTTGCCGACTAGAGAACGTAAAAATTCGTCAAATAAATTATCCGGCCGGAACGATAGGGAATCCGGTGATGATACGCCAGACATCATATATCATAATCAAAGACATGTAACGAACTAAAAACGTTACAGTATCTTGAGAACGGTTGCTCGTAGCGATTTTTACCAAGAGACATTTTTTACGTAAGAAATCACGGAGATTTATATTTTTTTACTCAGTAGTTTTATACAGGTAAGGACGAAAAGTTCAGGACGACTCTTCAGAACAATTAAAACGCAGGTGGGTGGCGCTCTCTACAAATCGGAGTCATATTGACATCAAAATCAAATTTCTCATGTCAAAAAACTTCCTTACACCAATTTTCATCCAAATATTGACGTTATTTCAGAAATTATTTGGAAAAAATCGAAATAAAAATGAAACTTCTACATTCTGTATCTCCGTAACTAAGCATTTTAGGACATACATTTATACGAACTTTTTTACTTAATTTTATCTACAGGATATGCTGCCAACGTTTCTAGAATCCAGTTCGGACCATCCTGTATAGTCGATATTTGGATGAAAATGTCTGCGAGTGTTTGACTTAATAAATTTGATTTCGATATAAATATGACTCTTTAAAAATTCCCGATTTTAGTCAAATAACTATCTAGTCATCATGATTATTTTTTGTTAATAATGACATGTATTGACTATTTATATTTTATATCTTGAGCACGGTTACTCGTAGCGATTTTTTTCAAGATACCGTTTATACGTAGAAAATGACGGAACTTAAAGAAAAAAAGGTATTACTCTTCAAAACAGTAAAAGAACCTCTAGGTGGCACCTTACAAGTAGGAATCATATTGACACCGAAATCAAATTTATCATGTGAAAACAATTCCAAATACGAAATTCAATCCAAATATCGAGTTTAGATCTTAAATAATTTGAAAAAAAATAGAAATAAAAATGAACTTCTCCACCCTGTATTTCCGAAACGAATCATTTTAGAACATACATTTATACGAACTTTTTTACTTATTTTTATCTGCAGAATATGCCGCCGAAGTTTTCCGAATACAATTCGGACCACCCTGTATATAGATAAATTTAAGTGAACGTAATGAAAATAAAATATATTAAACAATTAAGGTCTTTCGTACTCGCTTATGAAGTAACACTAATGATAATTAATTTAAGTGATACTTTAATACAGCTGCGTTAAAGTTAAAATGCCTCTTCCCAGTCTGTTTTCTCCCACAATAAATAAAACGCACTTTGGAAACACGACCCACAAATAGTTCCTCCGTGGCATCGGCATCGACTTACCTACGACCATATTTCACCCAGACGTCATTCCTGCCGACCGCATTCCCGGTTTAATTGAATGTCAGTTTTTCGATTGGATTTTTCCGGGGGTTTCCCCGCCGGACGATCGTGACGCAATTACGGTGACTTAAAGATTTCCTCTGCCCACCACTTCGGTCTTGTTCTTTCCGTCCGTCTTCGTTAGGAGACTCGAAATGATAAATCAAACTTTCGTTTACTTTCGGTTTTTCTAATGAATTGTTTTTCAATTTTAGAGAAAAGGGGGCTTTTTCTGTATGCGACCGGTTAGGTTTCCCGCTTCAATCAATAAAACGTCCATTTATCCAGTGTGAGTTCATATTAAGGAAGTGATGAGTTTTAAAGGAATTGCTCTAATGAGGGGAGAAAGGCACAAATCCTCATAATCTTGTATTCATTTTTTTTATTTCAAAAATGTTTATAAATAAGGGGGCTACATGTTTCGTCCCACAAACAGGCCCAAGGCAAAAAAAGTCACATCATAAACCACTACAGCAAGATAAAACCCCAAATCACCACAATATACTTTTACTTTTACACCGGACGCATGCTTCGCTTCATGTTAGAATAATCAGCAGATGATTAAAACTAAACTAATATCTACAAATTGAGCGTTTATATACTCGATCAGTTGGCTCCGAGTAGACGTGGCAAAAACTAGCGAAGTGAGCCAAAAAAAAAACGAGCGTAACAATTAATTACCGAAACTAGAGCAGTGTGGAGGAAGAAATTGAGTCATCGTCTCTGTTCATACTCTCTTTACATTCACGAGGCTTATAGAAGCAGAGGACGACCTCCTAGTTAATGGACAGATGATATTAAGAGGGTGGCTGGGAACTGGATTCAAGTGGCACAAAATAGAAAGAGAACAAGGGAGGCTTTTGTTCAGTAGTGGACGGTATAAGCTAAATGATGATGATTATGATGATGTCCCTTTAAATAAAATAAAATCATCTTGATCAATATTTTGTAGTTTTGGTGACCTCAAAATAGTTAAATTTGTTTGGATGTGTATCAAAATAAAACTCGGTTTTTTTATTCAGAAATTGTTCACTGTTTGGACAAATACATTGTCTTCCTCAGTACTACACTTTTTTAAAACCATTCGCCATATTTCTAAAATATTTTCCCTTTTATAAGCAATACATTATCTTTTTTTTCACTCTCTCACAACCAAACAATGTCAAAATTTAAAATTTCGGGATACTATAGAAAACGTTGATTTCTTTCGAAAAATTAAGCTAATTGGCATGTTTTTAAATGAAATAAAATAATTGCGGTCAGCTGTTGCCAAAATTGTGACGAAGGGTTTGAAAAATAGGTTTGAAATAAGTGTGGTCGTGAGGGCGACAATATATTTCTCGAAACGACCGATCATTGAATAGAAAAAACCTAAGTTTTATTTTGACCCACATTTAGACAAATAAAAACAACTTTAAAATTATTTTGTATCTCGAAAATAAATGAAGCCAAGATACTTTTGTTTGCGGCTTTCTTGGTTTCTCAAAAACGTTTGATTAGACAAAGTCCTATCAGCTGAAAGCCAACTAAACAACGGCAAAGAATAAATTGTCGACATTACAACGACAGGCATGCTCGGTGACTTTCATTCCACGCCGTCAAAAGCTATGGCACACTTCAATCTGTGGCTATGGAAACCCGACTCAACTTACCTCCTTTTCAAGTTATTTTGGAAAGAGAGGCGAGATGGGCTACATACAAGTTTTTAAATATGACACGAGAATGCCAAGGAACAATCAAGTTCATACAAAACCGACTAGTAGACGAATTACAGTCGGATGAGATTCTAGGAATGGGCTCAGATCTCACATGACCGGCACCGACCGGTCCAACTCTTGGCAGGCACCTGCAACGTCCTGTTTCCGAATAGGGACGAATGGAATAAGCCGAGAAATGCTTTATCACATGCGGAAATGTATTGGTACATGGACGGATTCAACAACGAAAAAGGATCTGGCGCAGGAATTTACTGCAGAAATGTGAAGACGGATATCTACCACAGTCTTGGAAAACACACCACAATTTTCCAAGCAGAGCTATATGCTATTGAACCTGTGTGCACCGGGAAAACAAGAATTACATTTTCGGATAGTCAAGCCGCGTTGAAAGCACTTGAGGTAACGGAAAGCACGTCAATGATGATTCTTCATTGTAGGAATCTACCCAATTTATTAGGAGATAGGAACAAAGTTTTGCTAATATAGATACCGGGACATGTCGACCTAGAGGAAAACGAACATGCTGATTTCCTTCCCAAAACAGGTGCAGGTTTGCCATTGGTGGGCCCAGAACCGTCACAGACCTAGCGTTCCAAAAAATCTCGCAAGAGACATGCTCTGTAGATGGGTTAGAGTTCTGGGTTAGCTTCTGTGTTGAGGGGGAACTTTAACAATCTTTTTCTGGTATAAAGAGTTTGTAGTACTGAGCCACAATAGGCCCTCGCGGTCGCAGTAGGGACCCATTCTTAGTAAATATAAAATAGAAGGTCTATTAACGGAGCTGATTTTGCCGAAAATTTGTTAAATAGAAATATATAAAATAAGAGTTAAAAACCACAATAATATATCAAAAATATTTATATTATATGTAAATACATGTATATTTATATTTGTAAGTACTAGTAATGAATAACTAAAGGCGACTCAAATCCTTTGTTATCTTTGGTAAGTTCTTCTTCGCCTTCTGGAGACCTCTTTCTTTTAGTACTCCCAAACATTTGGCTTATTCTTCTTTCATTTTCCCGTCTATATCGTATTTTTCTGTAATAAAGTAGGATAAATTAACTAAAAATAGAGAATGGTGACAATTTCGATGATGAGATCATTGGTATCATCACCGAAATTACGGGCGATATGATATTGATTTAATGGGAGGAAAGTTTACTGTCAAATCGATTGGCAATCATTCCAGACTATTCTGTCAATCAGATAGCCACGTTAGTTAGTTTTTATACGGTAATGGCAAAACATTTTCCGACTAACGTCATCAATAATATAGAAATTGACACCAAAGCCTATAAACCTGACTAAATCAAATTTTGGCAAAAATGTTGCCTCGTTTTTTGACATGGTCTTCCTTTTTAATGGGTTTTTTAATCACAAACAGTTCTTTTAAGAACTAAATTCTCGAGTTTTTATATTGCATTTATTGAAATTGTGTGTTGAAAATATGTCGAAGCAAAGAGCTTGTAGCGTCCCTGATAAAATATTTTGAACGAGAACCTGACAATAAAGGTTTTTTTATTACCCTTGATTGCAGTTAGAGAGAGAAGTAAGTTTGATGGGTAAGCCCCCCCCCCCCACATTATACCACTTCCAAAGTTATTCCTACGTTAGGTTAGGTTAGGTTTTAGTAAATTCTGTGATTATTATATTTATATCATATTAGTATAGTAATATAACATATTATATTACTATAATATCATATTAGATTATGCATAAATGGCACCCTCTTACTTGGTATTACCACTTGTGGTGTTGTAAGTTGTACCGGGTGTCCCACTAAGAATAGCTTTCGGCTGTATCTCGGAAAGTATTAGCCGTAGGGCTTACGAAAAAAAATATTTATAACTAAAGCGGCTATGAGAAATTGCTGGAAATTATTTTCAAGTTTGTAAAACGGCCGCTAGGGGGCGCAATTGCTATGGAAAATAAGAAAATATAATTTTTACAGAATTTTATCTAGATAATGGGTACTATAAATAATAGCTTCATAATCTTCAGTAAATTTTGGATTTTCTTTGTTAGAACCATTTTCCCCTACCTGCTAAAATAAAGTGGTGGGGGAAGGTTAGATCTATCTTTATTTAAATGTTAATAACTCCGGACTGGATGATCAGAATCCAACAAACGAGGGCTCGTTTAAAAGAGCGTTTCTTACTCTATATTATACCATAAAAATAATAATAAGGTTTTGAACGTAGACGCTAGGGGACGCTTTCCTACAATTTAACAAACATAGCGCGTTTTCTGAAAAAAATTAAATACGATAGTATGTATAATTTTAGCTGATAGTAAAGAGTAGTAAAAGCTTAAATAGTCAGCGAAAACCGCATCTTGATAACTTCTTTCAAACCGAAGATATTAGCAAAATTAAAATAAATACCAAGAAATAAGCCCTTAATTAAATTATTTTTACAATACGGTATCAGTAGCCCTCTTGATTATTCCCATTATAACAAAAAAATAAGATAGAAACAGTTAAAAAATATTTAAGTTAAAATCGACGAAATACCAGAATACCATAATACCAGATGTATTAATATCTAATAATTAAGACATTAGTAACAGTGAACAAAAAATGATGATTCAGTGAAGTCATGGAAGGTTTTGGAAAAAAGTTGCTTTTCGCGTAATAGTATAAACGTCAAAATTCTCATTAGATCAACATTTTGATAGTCTTTATCTTTAGCGTTTTTGTTTTTTTTTTTAATCTTTTGATTGTTTTTTCAAAATGCCAACAACTTCAACTACTTCAAATAATAAAGGCAACAACTTCAACTACTTCAAATAATAAAGGCATTTTGAAAAAGCAATTAAAAGATAAAAAAAACGCTGCTAAGGCAATCAAAATGTTGATCTAATAAGAATTTGACGTTTATACTATTACGCGAAAAGCAAGTTTTTTCCAAAGCCTACCATGACTTCACTGAATCATCATTTCTTGTTCACTGTTACTAATGTCTTAATTATTAGATATTAATACATCTAGTATTATGGTATTTTTTCTTTTTTTTTAATTATTATAATTTTGCTAATATCTTCGGTTTGAAAGAAGATATCAAGATGCGGTTTTCGTTGACTTTTTAAGCTTTTACTACTCTTTACTATCAGCTAAAATTACATATACAATTATATTTAATATTTTTGAAAAAACGTGCAATGTTTGTTAAATTGTAAGACAACGCCCCCTAGCGTCTACGTTCAAAAGCTTATTATTATTGTTTATATGGTACAATATAGAGTAAGAAACGCTCTTTTAAACGAGCCCTCGCTTGTTGGATTCCGATCATCCGGTCCAGAGTTATTCATATTTAAATAAAAACAGATCTAACCTTCCCCCACCACTTTATTTAGGTAGATAGGGGAGAATGGCTCTAACAAAAAATATTCAAAATTTACTGAAGATTACGAAGCTATTACTTATAGTACACCTTATCTAGACAAAATTGTGTAAAAACTCTATTTTCTTATTTTTTGTTGCAGTTGCGCCCCCTGGCTGTTGTTGCAGTTGCGCCCCCTGTTCTACAAACTTGAAAATAATTTCCAACAATTTTCCATAACCTCTTTAGTTATAAATATTTTTTTTCCGCAGCCCCTACGGCTAATACTTTCCGAGATACAGCCGAGAGCTCTTCTTAGTGGGACACCCTGTGCATAAATAAATAAATAACCCATAATAACGCTTAGAATAATCTTCATAATGGACTAGTTTGGCCTATTTTGACTATTTGTTAGTTGGACTTATCACTCAACGTTGATCACGTAGGTACATCGGGAATTGTTTTGCGATTACCGTATATATTTCTGTTCTCTCTTTCTTTCGGATAACATTTATTCTATTAAAAATTACTTTTGCTTTGTTTAAATTTATATGGTAATGGATAACAGGACTAAGCTAATGAACTGTGCATAACATTACAATACCTCACCGCTTCAGCCAGCCGTCCATACTGCTGCGAGGTTGTCGTTCTTGGTACATCATTATTATATATTTCTGCATCGCCGTATGTGTCTCTTTTTTCCTTCTTTAGGTCCTCGATTATTTCGTTGGCATTAGCGTTGGGATTGTTCAAACCTTCTTCCACTACTTTTTCCTCCAAATTATCTTCTGGAGTTTTCTGTTCAACATCTAAAATAAATAATTTTGTTTTATATCATTTTTTATTCAATGAAGTATGAATATATGATAATGTATGATGTTCATATTGTGCCTGCGTCAAAATCTTTATGCTTATGACATGGGCGACTAAATTAGTATAAAAAGTAAATGTCAAATATATACAGTGTCCGGCAATAGTGCGTCGGGCATATGTAGCTCCTAGAATAAAAAACTTGGAAATTTTGTATAAGTGCTAACCTAAAGTATGTACTAGGATGTATTTCAGAAAATATTTTAACTTCTTCAGGGTGGCTCAAAAAAGTGTGAGTGTATCGGGATGATTTTTTTTAATGGGAGACCCTGTATATTATTACCTTTTTGGCTTTCTTTCAGGTCACTTTACATAATCCTAAGATATGAGTAGATATATTTCGATAGTTTCAGAGCTTTCAATAAATAAATAAAAATATATATTTTTTAGCCTTTCTTATAAAAATTATTAAAAATACAAGAGCTGTCCTGAAATAAAAACTATATTATGTATCTACGTTAGATGGTCTGTACTTACTTTGCTATAAATATCGTAATCTTAAATCATACAGGATATAAAAAATAATATAAAATAATTTTTTTTAAATGGAACACCCTGTATATTATTTTTTTAGTGAATGGAAAATTAAAAAATGAACATTTTTTGTATTTAGAGTATTTCGACATTTTTAACGGTTTCGCAGATATTGGCGGTTTTATATTTCATACGGCATTTTCATAGCAAACTTTTATCAAAGCCATCCAATGATTTTTCTCTCGTATTTTACCGTTGAAAAAGCCATACGAAATAATACCGCGAGTATCTGCGAAGCCGTTAAAAATTTTATAATACTCTAAATACAAAAAATCATTTTCTAATTCTCCATCTATTAAAAGAATAATATATAGTGTGTTCCATTTAAAATAAAGAAGAAAAATTATTTTATATTTTAGAAAGTTTGGCGTAGAATTTTGAACACCCTGTATAATTTAAGATTACGATATTTATAGCAAAGTCAGTACAGACCATCTAAAGTAAATACCTAATATAGTTTTGATTTCAGGACAGTTCTTGTACAGGGTGAGTCAACGATAGAGTAAAGTCCATTATCTCATTTGTTTCGAGGTTTACAAAAAAATATTAAATACAAAAGTTATAGGGAAAGTTAAGATACAGATTTTAAAATTATTATATAGTATACAGGGTCCTTCAAAAATGTGTGGCGGATATAACATATGTTTTTTTTAAATGCAACACCCTATCTTTTATTTTATTTTTAGATTCTGCGTAAAATTCTATAACTTTTTTATATATAATGTTATATACCTAAAATTAATAGTTTTTGTAATATTTAAATTTGTTTATACAAATGTTAAATTGCAGTGTGGTAAAAAATTGTCAGTTGTACCATTGTTTCTGAAGTTGGAATACCAAAATTTGGTATGAAAGTTCTATAGAGATTAAAAAGAAGATATATGTTAAGATATTTTAGTTAAATACTACAGGGTGTTTAAAATATATTTATGAATTTCAACTACTTAAAATTAAAAAATCTCAAATTTTTTAAATGGTACACCCTATATATTTTCATTTTTTCTGATAGATTTTGCAAAGCTCTTCAACTTTTATTAAGTATGTCATATACCTATTTTTAATAGTTTGCGACTTATTTCAATTTTTTCTATTTTTACCCTAATTTTTAATACAATTAGCTATAACATCATAGTTGCCGTGACAAAACAAACATATTTATTACTTATTTTTAACAAATAGTTTAATAATTGGTTACAATTGTTATTATTAGTCAAAATTAACTAACTTTACTCAAATAAACTAAAATCGTAGTCGTGAATTTCTTGGTGTATATTCTATATTATGAAAGATGACATTTCAATTTTCCGTCGGGCCGAATAGCCACAGATTAGGATAATACTAACTAGATTACCTAATTGTTGACGACTACTGATATTGAAATTTTCTCCGACATACAGTAAAGTTTTTTTTCTCGTAGTAATTTTGGTTTATAATTCATTTCGTAAAGCCAATATTACTACTGCCACAAAACCGTCCCATTACACGCTGAAAATATTATAATATAATATAATATAAAAATGTTTTCTAGATAATCTACATCTATTCTTATAGTAATAAAATTATTATTTTTTGTCATGGTAACTATGATATTATAGCGTAATTGTATTAAAGATATGGGTAAAAATAGAAAAAATTAGAATAAATCACAAATTATTAAAAATAGGTATATGACATACTTAATAAAAGTTGAAGAGCTTTGCAAAATCTATCAGAACAAATCAAAATATATAGGGTGTACCATTTAAGGAATTTTAGATTTTTTAATTTTAAGTAGTTGAAATTTATAAATATATTTTGAACACCCTGTAGCATTTAACTAAAATATCTTAACATATATCTTCTTTTTAATCTCTATATAACTCTCATACCAATTTTGGTATTCCACCTCAGAAACAATGGTACCACTGACAATTTTTACCACACTGCAATTTAACATTTGTATAAACAAATTTAAATATTACAAAAACTATTAATTCTAGGTATAAAACGTTATATATAAAAAAGTTATAGAATTTTATGCAGAATCTAAAAATGAAATAAAAAATAGGGTGTTGCCTTTAAAAAAACATATGTTATATCCGCCACACTTCTTTGAAGCACCCTGTATACTCTAAAATAATTTGAGAATGTGTATCTTAACCTTCCCTATAACTTTTGTATTTAACATTTTTTTGTAAACCTCGAAACAAATGAGATAATGAACTTTACTCTATCGTTGACTCACCCTGTACAGCTGGTTCCAATAAAATTGAATACGATTTAAAACATATTTTTATTATTTCGGGCAGTATATTCTACGATACCAGTCCCCCATTTCTCTACTCATGTCGCGCTGACATTCTGAAAAATTTATTTGCCACTTTGAAAAAAACAAAGTTCTTTTATTCCATGTCACAATAACCTTAGCATGCCAAAATACTTGACATATAAATATACACTGCTCAAATATTCGAAAAAATGTGTAAAGAGTCGTATATACATCTTTTTACACCCAGCTGTACATATTTTTTTTTAATTTATTAATATCTCTGAAACTATCAAAACTTATTTAAAAAATCTTAAGATTATGTAAAGTGATCAAAAAGGAAGCCAAAAAAGTAATAATATACATACATAATAATAAACTAGCGTGTACCAGCGACTTCGTTCGCGGTGAATTAATCACCCTGTATGATTTTTTTAAAAATTTCAAAATATGTAAGAAAACCAAATAAATTATGCTTGTCCAAGCGTGTTCCCGAAAGACTAACCGTTTTTTAAATAACAAATATTGTAATATTTGAGGGGCGTTTTCACCCTCTTGAAATATTCGAGAAATCCCTCCTTATCGAACCTCTACGCCCCACAGTCAATCCGTTTGCCAAAAATCATCTTTAAACATCAAGCAGTTTAAGCAGAATCGTGATTACTCAATGGTCATATTTTATGAAACACCTTGTATAAATTTATAAAAAATCTTAAAATATGTAAAACAACAAAATAAAATATACGTGTTTAAGAGTTTTTCCGGAAAACTCACCGGTTTTTAAATAAAAAATATTTTAATATTTGAGGGATAGTTTCACCCCCTTAGAATTCGAGTTTCGAAAAATCCCTTCTTATCGAACCTCTACACCCTAAAGTCAATCTGTTTTCCAAAAATCAGCTTTTTACGTCAAGCGCTTTAAATGACCATATTTTTCGAAACACCCTGTATAGATTTTTAAAAAATCTTAAAATATGTAAAAAAACAAAATAAAATATACGTGTTTAAGCGTTTTTTCGGAAATTTGACCGTTTTTTAAATAAAAAACATTGTAACATTTGAGGGGTAGTTTCACCCTCTTGGAACTGGAATTTCGAAAAATCCCTTCTTATCGAACCTCTACACCCTAAAGTCAATCTGTTTTCCAAAAATCAGCTTTTTACGTCAAGCGCTTTAAATGACCATATTTTTCGAAACACCCTGTATAGATTTTTAAAAAATCTTAAAATATGTAAAAAAACAAAATAAAATATACGTGTTTAAGCGTTTTTTCGGAAATTTGACCGTTTTTTAAATAAAAAAACATTGTAACATTTGAGGGGTAGTTTCACCCTCTTGGAACTGGAATTTCGAAAAATCCCTTCTTATCGAACCTCTACACCCTAAAATCAACCTGTATGCCAAAATTGAGCTTCTTACGTTGAGTGGTTTGAGCAGGATCGTATATCAGTCACTTAAGGATTTTATATATTAGTATAGATATATTATCCTGATCCACTCACACTTTTTTGAGTCGAGGTGCCTTTTTTGAGTCGAGGTTAAATTATTTTCCTGAAAAACATCCTAATAAATAATTTAGGTTTGCACTTATACAAAATTGCTAAGTTTTTTATTTTAGGAGCTACAGATGCCCGACGCAATATTGCTGGACCCTGTATGTACCATATACGATCGAAAAAACGGCCTAGTTGGATTGAAAATGAGGATAGATCATCATTTAGAAGCTCACTTTAATGTAAAAATTACGATAAAAATGTTAGTGTCTTCTTCAAAAGCGAATATCTCCATCAACAATATATCTGTTGAGATGCACCGAGATGATAAAATTATTTTCAAATTCCTTGCTTTTTAACATATTCCACAGGGTGCTCCAACCTTTAACTTTTTATATATTAAAAAAGATATTAAAAAGTCAAATAATTTAGCTATAAATTGCTTAAAAGATCATCAAAATCAGCTCACTAGAACAAACTATAGTAAATTTTAAAATATATGAAAATTTTAAGATGCCCGTTTTTCGCACCGGTGAGTGTATTTCTTTTAACTGTTTCAAAAACAAAGCATTAGAACACAGGTTATACCCTTATTACAAGTAGTCTAAAAGCTAGCAAGGTTTTCGAGAGAGTATTTTAAGAAAGCTGGCTCTTTAATATACCTTGT